TTCTCAACATAAAAAAACAACACATGCAGAAATACACATCATAAAGTGGAATGACTTGTGACAGTAAGTGTTCTATTTCTAAACTGTAGCCAAGATTGTAGGTCCTCCCCCTCCTGTTCTGGAATGCCATTTTAAACTGGTCTTAAACAGAAACAGAATCACTCAACAAAATGGACTATTATAGTGGTGCTTTTCTTTGTGGCTGAAGAGCTAGCTTCCTTTGTCTGCTAGCAAAGTGTCCTCCTTGTAAATTCCACCCTTTCTTCAGATCACCATCTGGTTTGATCTCAAGGAGGAAGAAACCATGTACTCCTGGGACCAACCAGGGGTCACAGCTTTGTGTGAGTTGACTCTCAGTGTACACCCATCAACCACCATCACTCTTATTCCAGAGCAAGTCCATACAGTCCTGCTTACAAAATAAAGTAGGCATTATGTGTTACCTCATTATATAAATAAGCTCTTAGAGTGATCAAGGTATGATAGACTGCTCAACAAACACATATTATGCCAATGTTTGGTATCTTAAGGTTTAGCTAGTTTGTTCAATTATTAAAGGATCCTCAGGCTTTCTGATTTGCAGGCTCCATTGATTTCTTTTTGTCTGATGAAACTATACACACAAACAGGCATACAGACATGCAGAGATTTCAGATGGTACAGGCAGAAACTTATTTATCTTCGAAGGACTCATCTCAGTAGATGAAGGTATTAGCCAGAGAGTTATATATCCTCCAGTATCACAAATTCACACAAATCAGCTTGCCAAGTTACACAACCTTTGATTCGCAGGTAATAAAATGTGTAGCATCTGTTCACCTGAGGCAAAGTGGCAATTCCTAGCAGACTCAGTGACTCCAAATTCCTAGCTTTCTATCACGCTGTTTCTCACTGACCTGAGGTCAGCTGCAGGTTATGTCAATCTAAGGCCATGTTAGCGATAGATCAACATACTGTAACATATAAAATATATGATAGACTGCTATTAATGTAGATCCAGAAACGACGTAGGGAACAACTGAAGGAAGGAAGAGAAAATGAGAGTTGCTAGGCAAGAGACCAACAGCACAGTGCTGCTGGTGGGGCCCCACCCTCCCAACACAGAGACCCACTCCCCAATCCAGCCATGAAGTATTTGTTTCTTTTGCCACCTGCTAGGCCTATGAGCATCCATATTCATGGCAGACAGGTGGCAGTGTCACTTGTGAATGGGAGCCAAGCTCAGATCCTTTCCACTTCATAGAGCTATAGGCTGGGGCACTGCATTTTGGGTAAATGAAGATGGCAGCCATCTTGGATTGGAACCAAACTTGGCTCTCCTTCAAAAGTGGTGCCACCACTGGGGAACGGACCTTCTAAGCTACTAGGGCACTTGGCCAATGCACAACCTGACCAACCAATGACAACAGGCTTGATAATAAGTGGGGTCAGGTGACACAAGGATGGCGGAACAGCCATACTGCAAGAACAATGATCTTCATATGAAAGTCACGCCGATAGAAACCAAACTTTGGCAGGTATTATATATTTAATATTGGATGTTTCCTAAATAATTCTCACAGTGAATCAGAGCTGCAGAGTTACCAGATTCCATATCTCATGAAATATGGCACTTAGAAGAGTGATTAGGACACCATACCCCACCTTTTCAAAGAAGTAACTCTATTTGGTTTGGCAGGCATGTTAATATGCCTGTTGGGTTCATTGCCTTTATATTCATGGAATTTAACAACATATTGTCATTAGTCAGGAGGGGAAATCAGCCAGATCAGAAGAACCAGCAGTTGAAGGCATGGATGTGCTGCCTGGACTCTAACACCAAGCTTGAGCCTGAGATGTAGACTCATTGAACTGGTGTACCTCAAGAGAGCATTCCTGAAACTGAAAGAAGTCTCCTCCATCAGCCCTTCAGGATAGCTGAAGCCAGAATGTCAGCAGTTAGTAATTAGCACAAAGAATAAGCAAATCCCTGATCAGAGAGAAAACTTGAAGCCTGTCAGGTAACTGTGGGGTAGAGAACTCTGACCTGAGAAGACATCAGGTATGAACGGCCTGTGATTTAACAGGGGTGGAGATGGATAGAGAAATTGCCTAATAGTTTAGTGTAGAAATGGGAACTAGAACAAGGTTATAGCACCTCTATAAAGCAACAATGATATAATTAAAAGAAATATCTTCAAAGCAAAAGTAATATATTTAAGCCGTTATCAAACTAAGTACTGTTAAATAAACAACTTGCAAATAAACCCATTCTTTTACACCACTAAAAGTTTCAACAAATTAAAATGTATATAAATTCTAATATAATGTATAATATTATAATTAAATTATAACAGATAATAAATTATAAGAAAATTTTAATGTATAATGAATTATAAGAAAATTATAATGAAACCCCACTACTGTAGGTGATAAAAGGTTAGGAAATGTGTTATTTATTTGAAATGGAATTATGTCAGTGGGAATATAAAAGGGATAAGGAAAAACAGGTCCTTTTAAAATATAAGGAATCCCTCTACAACTTCGTGGGTAGTGGTGGGACAGACAAACCACAGTAGACCCTCCATGGCTGGGCAATGACTGTATGTGTTTACCCTTACTGCGAAAGAAGGGCAGAAGGTGGGACTGTTGGGCCAGGTCACAATTTATCCTCCCACTGCTGATTGGCCAGCTGAACCCACCCTCCAGGGCAGGCCTGCCCAAGGCTACTGGCTCACCCAATTGCCAGCAGTCAGTCAGTCAGTCAAACCATGGTTCCTTCCCCAGATTACCACAGGGCCCGTGGTCTGGCTGCAACACCGCTCACCAGATAAGGTGAGCGGATTTACTGAAAACAGCACTGTATGGGGAAAATAGCTAAAAGATGGTGATTTGTGCCAAGCAAGTGTTTTTTTTTTTTTAAATGATATTTATTAAAGTTTCCAATAAAAAAGACACATCAGTAAAAAAGAATTTAAAAGTAAAAAGAAAAATACACAATACAAAAATAGACAATACAAAATACCAAAAAAAAGACAAAAGAAAAAAAACAGTTAAAAACAATACCATCTTTTCATCACCACTTTTGAATTTACTTATTTTCTGGACCTCCTCATACCTCCCTCTTTTGTATTCCAGTTCAATTTGTTTGTCCAGCAATTTCTTTCCGTCTTTTTTAATCCCAATTCTTAATCTTAATATGGTATAACATTTAATTCTTATCTATTAATAGCCAGTTTTCTGTTCTTTTAACCTTTTTATGCCTAATCCTTAATATTAGTCTGTATATAACTTTAACGCCTGTGCAGCTAGAAACCACTTAATTTCAATCCATCATCACTCTAACATTCTTTAATTTTGCAATGTTTCTGTAGGTAATCTTTAAATTTCTTCCAATCTTCTTCCACCGACTCTTCTCCCTGGTCACGGATTCTACCAGTCATTTCCGCCAGTTCCATATAGTCCATCATTTTCATCTGCCATTCCTCCAGTGTGGGTAGCTCTTGTGTCTTCCAATACTTTGCGATGATTATTCTTGCTGTTGTTGTTGCATACGTAAAGAAAGTTCTATCCTTTTTTAACACCAATTGGCCAACTATGCCCAGGAGAAAGGCCTCTGGTTCCTTGTGCCAAGCAAGTGTTTGAGAGACTTGCCCTGGATTAGGGGCATGTTCTAGATGAGAACTGTGCAGCTCTTCCCTGCCCGCTTCAGAATAAAAGTGGCCAGTTTAAGCACGCTTCTTAAGAAATGCGCATTCAGCATCAGCTCAATACATTTTGCTGTCTGAGGCAGAAAGGTCAATGGTGTCCCCCTCCCCCGCGTCAAGTTCCATTGTACCCAAGGCTGGCATAATTATTTTGTCACCTGACACAGGAAAACCCAAAAGCACATCTTCATGGAAGTAAAAAATAAAATGCAACAATAATAAATTAATTGACAATTTTCTTCCCTTAGATGACACTCAGAATCAGTTGCCTTGAAGCAGCTGCCTCACTTTGCGTAAGGATAGGGCAGGCATTGAATGTGTTTATCCTAACATGTAGTCTGTTCCTTTAGTTCTTGTTTTCCGTTTGATGCGCAATGGTGTGTTGGCCCACCACGGCTTACTGGGCTGTACTGCTGAGCTGCCCAACTACATTTCTAGGTCCAGGCACTCATGTGTTCCAGTGTCCTTATTTGTATCTATGAAACATTGGAGGAAGATGTGGTCTGCGTGGTCCAAGCTGTGTTGTGTGCAAACACCACCTTTTTCTGGGGATTCCTCTTACATACAGTGACTGGCAATATGGACCTCAAAGAGCTGAAGCTCGAAAGCACCCACAGTTCTTAGTCATGTAGCTCAGTTCCTTCAGATAATTTCCCTCTGGCTGCCTAAAGTCCTCCTCATTTTACACCATGCCTGCTGGCCATTTGTTCATTGTCACACTGTACCTGAAATACCAATGCATAATTAAGAAGCAGGTAGTAAAATATACAAGCTTGAATGTTCACTTGTTCATTCATTCATAAAATATCCACTTTGCCCAAGTTTTTAATGAAGCATGTTCCACAGAAAAGCTGGGCTGGGTTGGGGATGCATTTCTTCTGATGAGGCTTTGTGTGCCCTGCTTTTCCTGAAGGCATGGGGGGAACGCTGAGCGTCACCTGCAGTTCCTACATTGTAACATTAACTATCCAGAAACAAAACATGTATGGTGTAGCAACAATGCATTCTTTATTTGGAAGAGTGAGTCATATTGCTTCAATCCAGCTTCCCACCGATTGGGTCTTTAATAGGGACATAAATAAGCCTCCTTAGCATATGTGACCTCCTGACCACAGCGTGTTAAACTCCAGGAACTATATTGCTCACCACTTTTCTTTCATTTGAAAGCATGTCCATCATAGTCCTGCTTGAAATCGTTTGATTTAATACCAACCCTGGCCTATCAGAAAATAAACGATGTTCAAATATGCTGAGAGCCAACTGACGGGGTTGCAATAGTCATGCAAGATGTTGAAAACCTCTTCAGTTTAACCACATGTTATAATGTGATTGACCCAGCTATATGTAATTGCTGCTCTTTAAAGAACACAGCAATGCATTTCGTACATGTGGCTGATATTATGATGTATTGTAGGGGTGGGGAAATTGTAGCCCTACAGGCATAGCTGGACTACAGTTCCCATCATCCCTGACAATTCTTCATGCTGATTGGAGCAGATGGGAGCATGACATATTCCCCAGCCAATGCCATCGGAAGGCCTGCAGGTTCCCTCTAACATTTGGGCCTACAGAAAGAGCTAGCAAGCAAAGAGTGGTGATGGAAGAACTTTACCTGGTTTGAATGTCTCAGAAATCAGCAGAGATCTGTTTCTCCTAAAAGGATGGATTAGAGATGGAGTACTAGTTTTGGGAAGGGGTATCAGCTGGGTGGAAGAGGATAGGAAGGGAATTCATTTCCTCTCTAGCTCAAGCCAGTCTGCATTTGAGGAGAGCATTATGAGCCTTTAATATGCATATCCCAGAGGCCAGAAAATATGTGTTGTGGGGGAGGCTGTTGTTCTGCTATAGATCTCATGCTTTGTCTGCAAAAGGTCCCAGGTTCAATCCCTGGGCATCTTCAGATATCAGGTTCAGGTGATGGGAAAGACATTTGCTGAGAACTTAGCTCTGTTGAGAAGAACACTTTTATTTTCTATCAACACACAAGCAGTGAGTGGGGCTGCACCATAGACTCATAGAGTTGTAGAGATGGAAGGAACATACCGAGAGTATATTCCTGATCGGCAACTAGATGGGAGCAGCCCTGAAAGTGAGAGAACGTCATCAAATGCCACTGCTCCAGGGAGACTCGTGGCATGATTTTAGAATATTAAAATTTTGTGATAGAAATGAGACCTCCCATGTCAACTGCTCCAGGTTCTTGGGTTCTGGATTACTATTTCTTTCAAATGTCAAAGACAGTAATGTATTTTTCAGGATTGGAAGCAGCGATGCAGCCCTCAGACTGCGTCCTAAAAGAATCTGCTGGACTGCAGATTCTGAAATGGACTCAACATGCCATCTGGGTCACAAGTCTGCAATCTGAGTTTGTTGGGGTCTTCTGCCCACTCTATCTCTTGAGTGCATTTTCCAAGGGCTGATCGGTTATGAATTTCCAAGACTATTCTAGGTATGATATGGGGATTCAGATTCAAGATCCAAATTGGTGGAGTATACATGACTGCCCTATTTATTTATTTCCTGAAAAATTGTGTTCCGTGATGTTCATGCTACAGTAGGTTACGTTTAATCTTTCTTGGCGAAACAGACTCAAGGAAATGCTTTCTTGTCAGATTTATGATGTTCTGTAAGCAGGATGCTAACAAATTTATTTAGCTGTTAGGTGGAATAGTTTATTAAAAGATTAACTTTCATGAACATAGAAGCAAACAGTTTGCTATCACCAAGAAGACAGGGTGCTTACAAAATAGGACACAAAAGCACAGCCAACTCTGAACAAAAGACATTTATTACACAAATGTCCTGTGTATCTGGAGGGGGAGAGGCTTGCGGACAAGTGGCAGGTCATATGGACAAGCGGGGATTAGGGAAACACCCTTCAGTAATTGGTTCCAGAGCGTTTAGATATTAAAGTGCTGGTTCCCACAATGACATCTGTTGTATAAGCATGTCTTTGCAATGGAATAGGCCATTCCCTTGGGTTAATATTATTGATTTTTAGATGAATTGTAGACCAAATAATTATCAAAGATGGGATGATTCCCTTGGCCTCAGACAGCCTGTAGCTTAGTAACTGCAATTAGACTGCATTTATCCCACATGCTGAGTTCTTATAACTTGCCAATGCGAGACAAAATAGGAGCTTGGTGCTTTTGAAAAATCCAGCCATGGATTCTGATTCCTAAATGAGTGCTGGCTTCTTGCTGTACAATCTGCTGGGCATTTTAAAAGTGAATATCTGTTCTATAATACTTTTTTATATATAAGGCAACTGGCAAAGTAAAGTCTCTCTCTGTGTGTGTGTAAATAAAAATGTGGGGTTGTGAATAATTTTGGAAGATGAGTAATTAAGTTTTGGGGGATGGCTGTTTCTTTAGGTTCAGTGATTATTGAAAAGAAAACTCAGTGCTCAGTGAACTTTCATGCAGAAAATACTATTGAGCAAATCTGTCATACAGGAATAGTTTTGATGGGAAAGTAGTTGAGACCTTAAAGCTGAACTTTCTTCAGTGGGAGTTTGCAGATGTGCAGATGTCATTATAAACTTTATAGCAGATACATGAATAAGTTATCCACAAAACAAGAGCTCTGTAAAAGACTAAGGGACATCAAAGTGGAGCAGAGAGAGAATCCATTTGTGGCCATCACAACTACAATCAAGAGAACCAGAGATCTTTTTAAAGGATACTTTGTTTCACTTTGCTGCAATTCTAGAGCGAGCAAAGTAGACATCTTGCTGAGCAGCCAAAACAAGTGCTTTGCTGAAACCCATCTCCTAAATTCTTGAAAGTTTTCTTCTGGAAAATATACTTCCATATTTATTCATTTTTGCATCTTCCACTGAGATCTTTTAAATGTCAGTCGATGTGGGGTTGTGTCCCCCACCCCCATTAAACACTTCCCTAGCACTCTGCAGTCTCTCCTACGGCCTGCACTGCCTGCACTTCCTGATCTAAAACAGCCCCATGAGATACCGGTAAGTTATCCCATGACATCTTCCTCTGAGCTTTAACTGCAGCATAAGAGGTCCTTGGAAGCTGGCTACAAAGCACCTCAGATTGGTGCAGTTGCTGGCTTTGTTTTTAAAAGAAGCCCTACTTTCCACCCTAAAAACAAAACATACTCATTAAAAAATAAATAAAAGGCTTCACTTTTAAAATATGAACAGATGTCAGGACCACAGTAAGTAGTTTCTCCACTTTCCTGTGCTTATAAGATAGCCCAGCTGAGGATGTATCTATCTTCAGACCACTGGAGAGATGGTGATTTGAAGAATGAAGGAAAAGGCACTAACAAAGATCCGTCTGCCAGCGTGAAAGTAATGTAAGTGCAGGTGCCGAAATCCCAAGGGAGCAGAAAAAGACTATTTATGTATGCGACCATGGCTGCATGGTTGTTATTAGGCCAGAGATAGAAAGAAGATAAAGTTCCTACCAGAGAAGAATGGCAGATGAAGCTGATCGACTATGCTGAAATGGCTAAAATGGCCGGAAGAGTCAGAAATCAGGAAAACCAAAATTTTAACAAGGAATGGGAAAAATCTATAACTTATCTTAAAGACCATTGTAAACAGTTAAAATTGTTAGTAGGATTGAAATATCACTTGTAGTTTAAGGCTGAACTCTGGACACAATGGAGATGTAAAGGATTTCGATTATCATAAAAGATGCAGGAGGAAATGATTAATAATAACAAAGGGGAAGATGGAAGTCCAGGAAATTCCTTGGAATCTTGTCTTTATGATTTATGTTTGATACATCTCTGGGAATTTTTAATTTGAAAAACCAAATAAATAAATTAATATATAAAAAAGTAATGTAAATGCAACAAAACCCTACCCATGAGAATTTTGCCAAAATGTTCTTTCCCCAAAATTTCAAATTCAATTTCTTTTCTCATGAATTGATGGAGAATGGTAGAAAAATAAAGATGTAAAAGGCCAGGAGAAATTTTCAGCATGACACCATTCAATACCAGACATTTATTGCTTATCTTTTTAAAATGTCCAGACTCTGTTATTGTTTTACTTATTTTTTTACTTCCAAATGTAAAAAAATCTCAAGTTAGCTCCTCAAAAGACCCAATAGACAAAAAAGGGAGACCTTAAAAGCATGATGGATTTGACCTTTTTATTTATCTAATAGCTGCTTGATTTTTAGATCATACTATCGACTTGTTTTCAAATTTATTTTTTCCCATCTGTGAGGCCAAGAAGGCTTATTTTAAAATAAAACAAAAACTCAGGATTCCAGCAAGAATTTGTGGGTTATAGAAAAACCTCAGTACTGCATGTAGATGAAGGTCCTTGAGAAACAGCCACCCATAGGCATGGGACTACAGGTAAGGGCTATATTGACATTTCTATACTTATAATTGCTTACAGTTCATATCTGCTGTAGTTTCAAGGGTCCCTATTGTCAACAAAAGACTTTAAGTATTTGGAAAAGAGGATGCGTAGTGGAATATTTGCTGCATCAGTTATTTGATGTCAAATTCCTGTGTTTTGAGAACAAAAGTCCAAGAACAATTATTGCTGTTGTACCAGAGAGGATGCAAATTTGATGATCTCCAAGCTTCTGCATTCTTACTTTCCTGTGGTTCTTCTGTTGAGATTTCAAAGGCATGGAACACAATAAACAGCTTGTAGAGTGAAGGACAAGGCAATGTTTGATAGCATTGCTTTGATATTAAGTGGCTGTTACGTTCAGGAGCTACAGTTCAGTGTCAGGTGCAATTATTCATGAACAACTAGCCTGGATAATACTTTTGATTCAAGCAACTAGCCTGAGTAATACTTTCAATCTAATTCTGGGAGTCTTCTGCCAGCAGCAATTCCACTGAAATTAATGGGATTAATATCAGTGGAATAGTTAGAAAATAAAGATCTAGTGAAGGACTTTGCACATATCATGTGAATTGTGCCTTGCTGTGAAAAGGTTTTTGTGTGCCGATTTCTTGGAATTGTTACCAGGGTAAAAAATAAATAAATTGATTGCTTATAGCTGTAGACAGGGTTAATTTTGGCATAGTGGAAATGGGTACCAAACATGCATGGAAATGGATACCTAACACTATTGTATTGAGAAATGTGTGTATTTGCTGCACAAATAGGGTAAAATCTGACACTTAAACTGCATGCATCTGAAAAGTCACATAGATCTGGGATTGATTGGAGTTTGGGTCCAGAAACAACTGAGGACCACAGGTTCTCCACCTGTGACATAGTGGGCTAGATTGAACTAACCCAGTGCACGAGTGGAAGCCAGAGCAAAGACTCCCAACAGTGCAACAGGGCTCCCCCCCCTTCTTGCATGTCCTTGGTGCCTCTCTCAAATCCACCCACGTGGGTTGGCAGAACCCGCAGAACAGAATGCAGTGGAGTGGGGGAGGGGGAGAGTGGAGATGGTTCCACTGGGTAAATAAAATGGTGACATATCAATCTCTCCTAGGAAGAAACAAAAATCAAATGCATTCCACATTGTTGATGGGCCGAAGCCACAGTCCCAAGGGACTGCACAAGAAAAGAAAGGCCACAGAAAGGAGAATGGCCACAGAGAGCTGAAAGAAGGACATACAGTGGTACCTCAGGTTACAAACACCACGGGTTACAAACACTTTGGGTTACAGACTCCGCTAACCCGGAAGTAGTACCTCGGGTGAATAACTTTACCTCAGGATGAGAACAGAAATCGCGTGTCAGCAGCGCAACAGCAGTGTGAGCAGTTTCAAGAACAGACCTCCAGAACAAATTAAGTTCATAACCAGAGGAACCACTGTAATCAAACTAAGGGCATGTTCTACTCTAAAATACAAGGCAAAAGGCAAACTGGGCTCCAAAGGCTTCAGAATGAGCAGGAATCCTGTTGGAAAACTTGGAGCTAAGCAAAAATAAAATCTAACAAAGAAGAAGAAGACAGCTCTAGCACCGAGTGATCCCAAATGACACCCCAGTTTTTCTGAATTCAGATTTGTCCTTTTCTCTTGCCCTACTCCCTCTCACAAAAAATCCACTCCATATTTGCAAATGACAGGTCATGGTGTAAACACCTGGAATTTCTAGCCCCCCCCGCCACTATTGTTTTAGGGGTTGATATGATCAGGGTACAGGGAGACTCACAAAGGTCACCCATTGCTGCTAGCCACATGGAGTAACAAATCTTGTACCTTCTTCATACTGGTGCATTATCTCTACTAAGGCCTTATGAGCATTTCTGCTTCTCACACACTCCAGGCAGAAAAAAAATGTTTCTGCAATCCAAATAGACATTCAGGCCTACCTCAGGCACAAACCTGCATTTCTTGGCCAAACATTTCTTCCATATCATACCACAGCTTCTGGTACATGCAGATATATTTCCCCAAACTGAGCCCAGGAGCAGTTTCCATTAACAGTCTCTATGCAATGATTATATGGGTTATTTCCTTTGACATTTCAGTACTGAGATGGAATACTTTTCAGGCACTTACATTTGCTACCTTGCAAAGGATTCTGTTATTAGTTCAATGACTCTAATTGATCAGGGATCATGCATGCATGACACTATAAACTAGAGCACTTTCCCCAGCCATTATCCTTTTCTGCTGGGACTTCTAGCTCACAGTGGAAGTGGGCAGGTGAAGCATCTTGCAGATGCTTTAGGTCCAAGAAAATAAAGCCAGGGCAGGTCATATCAAGACAGGGATCAGTACCCTGGACAGTTCCCAGTGGGTCCTGCTGGGTGATCAGTAGAAAGATGTTTACTCAATCTGGAGCCAAAGCCATCTGAATCTTTAGAAAATGCACAGGAGACCTGCTCACTACTAAGCCCCACTGTTGAAAGCAGTATCACCCTAAACACCAGCTGCTAGGTATCACATACATACATACATACATACATACATACATACATAGTTTTATATGTATGCCACCTTTCCATAGCTAAAACCATGCTCAGTGCAGTTTACATCTTGAAAAAATTACACAATTTCAAACATAACAAAAGTAGCCATAATCAATAAATGAAACACCAAAAAGTACTCAACCAAATTTCCACATAAATCACGGTAAGATCTAAAATAAAGATACAATTTCTTTCTCCCCTAAAACAGCTAGAGCCCCACTCCCAACAAAACCCCCAAACAATACCCCAACCCAAGAGTCTTTCAGGATTCACAGCCAAGATGGCCTCTGGCCTCCCCAGCAGCCTCAGCTTTTGTAACTGGAGTCAGTCAGGGCCCTGCCCTCCCAGGCACAGGTGGGAAAAGGTGAGGCTGTTTTTAAAATCCAGAGAGAGAAGGGGGATTTTTCAGCTATCTTGTCACCTAAAACTGAGTAAGGCAATGCCCCCTACAAATGTCAGGGAAATTTCCCTTACCTGCTCAAAATCCCCACCCCACCCCCCAGTTTCATGAGGGTAAATGATACCCTCCTGCAGTGCGCTCTATGTGGGGCTACCTTTGAAGGTGACCCGGAAACTACAACTAATCCAGAATGCGGCAGCTAGACTGGTGACAGCTGCCGAGACTACATAAGACCGGTCTTGAAATACCTACATTGGCTCCCAGTACATTTCCGAGCACAATTCAAAATGTTGGTGCTGACCTTTAAAGCCCTAAATGGCCTCGGCCCAGTATACCTGAAGGAGTGTCTCCACCCCAATCGTTCTGCCCGGATACTGAGGTTCAGCACCGAGCACCTTTTAGCATTTCCCTCATTGCAAGAAGCAAAGCTACAGGGAACCAGGCAGAGGGCCTTCTCGGTAGTGGCGCCCGCCCTGTGGAACGCCCTCCCATCAGATGTCAAAGCGATAAACAACTACCTGACATTCAGACGACATCTTAAGGCAGCCCTGTTCAGGGAAGTTTTTAATGTGTGATATTTTGGTGTATTTTTGGTTTCTATGGAAGCCGCCCAGAGTGGCTGGGGAAACCCAGCCAGATGGGCGGGGTACAAATAATAAATTATTATTATTATTATTATTATTACCGTAAAAATTGGGGCGGGGAGATTGTTGGAATTATTTACACCGGACAAGAGGGTACACAGAGACTGAACATGGAGCCCGGCACGCTTCCGTTGCGGAACTCTGCTGGCTATCCGTGCCTCCTGCAAAAATCCTCCTCAGGCCTCTTTCTCTTGCCGGTAGCAGAGCGAAACACAGCGGTGAGAAGCAGAGTGCAGCACGTGTGGAATAAATCAGTCCAGACACAAGGCAGTCCTTATCTACTCTTGCCTTTTAATCATGAAGAATAACATCATAAATTCAGACCTGGCGAGAACTGACACATTCTCCCTTTCGCATCACGTCCGAAAGTCAGACTGAAACACACGGAGTCAAACCCCTCCCTTAAGTGTTTCTAACCACGCCTCAGGAAAGAGACGTCACCAGAACTCTTTAACTCTGTGAGTTCTGAAACCATTCTCTCCCTCATCTGCTATAAAGCCAAGCAGATTTAGCAGTGTGGAACTGTCAATGAGGGCAAAGTTGATGGGGAATAATAGCAATGTGTCCTGGATCATTTTCATAGCTGATGACAGCCAGCAGAATGATATCATATACCTATGGATTCAGGCAGAACAGTTTCAAAGCAATAATTACAGAAGAGGAAGTTGACACTAGCATGTTGTCAAAAATAGCAAGTTCTATTGGCTCAGGCGTCCTTTAGTTGGACTTCGGTAAGTTTTCAGAAACCTGAAAGTGAATCTGAGGGAGTCATGTCATGCCCAATGAAATAAACATTGTATGTTTGCTTGTTTACATTCCTAAACCCTGCCCCAAATCAATGTGCTTCCTCCCAGTTCTTCATATTTAAATTAAGCTTCATACGAAAAGGTCACTTAAAAATATACCAAAATCATTCAAACCAAACCTTGTGTTCTTGAGAACTCTCAGTTGCTTAGGTAATTATTTCTGGCGAGCTGAGAAGTGTTAAGTTTTTGCTTGTATAAAAATAATTGAGCAAAAGCTGTGAGCGATATCGTGTGGTGTTAATTCAAGGAGTTTAGAGAGATCCTAAACAAAATAAAGTTTTTTCTTGTGTTGTGTAAAAATAACCTCAGGCAAGAAATGTCTTTATCCACTGTAAACTATGCTGAAATATAGGTATAGATATCTCAGCCATTAAGCAGATTCCCTCTTGGAATGCTATAAAATATTCACTCCAGTAGGTAAAATTAGTCAGTGAGTGCAAGCCATAAAATAATGTATTTTACTTTGCAGCATTTCTACAGAATTGCAGCAATGAAAGCATTGCCTTCTATTAATGGACCCTTTCCTAGTGTTATCTTTTTTATATATATAAAAAGGTGCATGCAATAAATGTCCTTTTGAAATTAGATTTATGAGGAGCCTGTCACCACACAGCGTCAACAATTTATCCTCATATATAACATTTTGTAATCAGCTTTTTGGCTAATGAAATTAATTACCACATGGGGAAAGATACCAAAAGGAGAGGGGAGAGCATTTAAGAACTCCTTGCAAAGTTTGTGGTATATTTATATCGGTTAAATAAATCAGTTTTAATTACTTGGCTTCTTGCATTGGATGCAAAATAATAAACCTTTTAAATCATGCTGGTGGGTGTGTTTTTTTAATTGGGAGAAAATTGTTAGAATTTCCATTTCCCCGATCTCCTTTTCTCTTCTTGGTGGTTTGCTACAAGTGCTTATTGATCCCAGCCATTAGAGAAGTCATTCCCAAATGGTGTGTCGGGGAATATGAGTGTGCCACAAGAGATCTGCTAACAAGCTGTGATTGTGAAAACTAAATAAACTATATATATCTTCCTGTAAGCTCAAAAAGTATCCACCACAGAGACAGAGACTGTCCATTTTGTGTCCCTGTTACGTTGAGATTATTCGTTATTCATGGTATGATTCATTCTGGCATTGTCTCCTTTCAGTTAGCTAAATTGCAGCTAGGTTTCCAAGCCAAATCACGTGCAATACTGACTCCTTTCTTGAAATTAAAACAACATCCCAACATTTGTTAAAATATTCAAAAAGACCCAAAACTTTACAGATCTTCTTGGATTCTTGCTCTGTGAATCCATGTTTCCAAATCCAGAATTCTCACATAGGATACAGTATGAGGAGAAATAGCACAGTTTGGGAGGGGGGAGGATACGTCTTTGCAATGTTAGCCTTTTAAAAGGTTGACATACTACAGTTAGGCACAATCGGGAGAGACATATGAGCGGAGGTTTCTTTTCTGGGAATTAGTGCAAATCTTTTGGGAACTTCTGCACGTGTTTAACTGCTTGCCTGTTGCCCAAGCCCAAGTGTTTAAATGACTTTGGCATCTATATTTAGAAGCCTGTTTGGAGGACCAAGCCTCTTGACTACACTAAAGCTTATCCACCAGTACTTTAAACTGAAAGGAGATTAGTATCCTAAGAATATAAATAACTGAACAGATTTCTCACTGGTAGAAAATCCCCACTGAGTGACGGACAGTTCTTTGCCCTCTTCCAAAATATCTTGGACGTTCTAGATGCCCTACTTAAAGCAGCCTAGAAAAACCAAAGCAATAATTTCTGGGCAGATGCCTGGATATTCAAATTGAAAAGATGCATATGGCAAGTGCTTTGAATAATCCCTGGCTTTTAAACTCTTTAAATTTCAGTGGCTGAAACATGTTTGTTATTCTGTCCCAATCTGCTGAATGTAGGATTGTGAACATGTTAAGGTAAAGGAGGAATGGACAGTTTTTGACACATCCACCCACCCCAGATTTTACTCGATTACAACCCCCAACATTTCTCAGGCTTGATAGGAGTTGGAATTGCAAAGCATCTGAAGGACCACAGGTTTGGCACCACCAAAATAGTCCTTTACCTGAGCATTGTAAGAGAACTCATTCATGTTTACGACTTTCCTCTAAGACAGACCAGCATTAATATG